CTGTTCAAGAGCAAGAATGAGATAGAGTGTATAGGATAAAATTAAATAGAAATATGTCACTAGTACTATAAATGGTTGTCAAGTCATGTGATTGCAACAGCGAAGCAGAATGCGTAACATCGGTTGCGCCTCTCTAATAAATCTAGAACTCTAGGTCCATCAACTCCTAGGTCGGTATTCATAGTCAGTTCTTATATTCAAGACCTTCTTAAGTTCAGTCTTGAGATGTCACGAACCAATCAGAGGACTGTATTAGGCCCTGCGCACAATAGAGGAAAATTAGGAACAGGAATAGATATTAAGATTTTAACCTATCAGAAACCGTGTATTCCGATGTAACTGGTATCTAATAGTAGGTATCTATAGTAATAGTGACAATTCCTGTTCCTCCATTGTGCGCAGGGCCTTAGCATCTCAAAGGCCGCAGCACAGACTCTTGCATAACGCATATCGCATAGTGCATAAGCGAATCAACTAATCAGAATCTTTCCTTTCCTCCCATTCCAATTGGAAAAGAAGAATTTCGATTGGTCGATTCCCGCATTATGCGTTATGCAAGAGTCTGTGCTGCGGCCATAAAGCGGGGAGCACAGACTTTTGCATAACGCATAACATGTAATGCATAAGAAATTAAATTCTTTATTTCATGGAAAGGAAGGAAACGGAGGGCTTTGATTGGTACATTTTCTTATGCATTACGTGTTATGCGTTATGCAAGAGTCTGTGCTCCCCGCTTAAGACATTACTTAAGACGGTCTTGGAATAAGATCTGACTATGAATACGGCCCCTATAGAAAAAATTTCTCCTTGGCTTTCAGCGTCATCTAACACAGTATAATGAACTACGAAGCCAGAAAAGCAATATGGCGTCAGAATCGATTTAAAATCGATCCAAATCGAGTGCTTATGGTTAGTTACGATTGTTGTGATCAATCGTGATCAGTTCCTCAGTTCTGATGAACTAGGGATGCACGATACCTTCAATTGTATCGATATCTCGGATCGATCCATATCGCAGATCAAACTGTCGATACCTTGTAGTATCGGGCTCGAAAGTATCGATACCCCAATATCGAGGTGCCGATACCTTAATTTTTCGATGCGTAGACGATTTTTTAAATAATAAATCACATTTTACTCATTTATTATAGAATTATATTCATAACATACATATATAAAATAAAATAAATACATTCTGATTAAATTAAACATTAGAATAACTCTAGATTCGAATAACTCGTAGTATTTCCACTTCTTAGGACGTCCTTCAAAAAGATCTTACAAGTCCCGGTAGTCGTATTTTTTACAAAATATTGCCACAGTGGACTTCTTTTTACGGACATTAGGAAATAGAAACAATAAAAGTAATGAAACTAAGGGTGAAATCACACGGTGCGGAAAAGGATTGCGGAATAGAGAATGCGTCATTGAAGCAACCAATCAGCGTAGCCATTCCGAATAGCGCTGATTGGTTACTTCAATGACGCATTCTCTAATCCGTAGTCTTTTTCCGCACCGTGTTATTTCACCCTAACAGGGGAATGCTCGATTGTAGTTCGTTCTTGCATTCTGATCCGAATCGAACCCTAGGTGAAAACTAGGCTAGTGTTGACAATCTCAAGATGGCCGCTTCGATACGATACTCTCCAAAAGTATCGATCCGTCGATAATATCGAACCCCCATGCGTCGATCCAAAATATCGTGTATCGGATGCAAAAATATCGATACTGACAATATCGATCCGGTATCATGCATCCCTATGATGAACCATTCGCTCGTGGCGGACGCGTCTCGACTCGGGTGTTAGCTATTGTATATTTTTGAAAGTGTTGCCGACTTTGACCGAGCAATGAAACATACATAATCATCCCGCGGTCTTGGACGACCCGTTCGGTCGTCCTGACGCGCGTCCTTGCGGCGTGACGACGCCGTAGACGCAGGCGCCCGGTGTT